GTTTTTTGGTTTGTTTGGTTTCTCCTAAGTTATTGTTTTTCTCAATTTTTTTTTGGGTTTTCCTATTTAGGTCAGTCTGTGTTATTACTATTTCGTTCAACCTTCAAGCATGTGAGCCTAAGTCTCACCTAAAGCCATATGTTCTTTGCTCTTACAATGAAAGCGTCTGAGCCCAACACTTCGTTTGTCGAAATCTCCATGTACAAGTCTGTGCATTAACTTCTGATTGGTACCAATGTGGTTGCCAATTGCATGTCCAATCAGCTTGAGATGAAACTGTAATGACACCTTCCAATTTACATGACACTGTTATGAATCTGTGTAAGCTGTAGTTGGTTGGGCGGGCGTAGATGGCCGTACGTCTTCGGCCACTTTTTGTCATTTTGTGACCTTCTTGGTTGATTGTCAACTAAGATGATGTTCTTCGGTGGATGATGCACATTGTAACCATGGGGGTGGGCATGATGACGTTCGTTGTTCATTGTAAACTCAGATGATGCATTGTGTTGAATAGGAGGCGGGCAGGTTATGACATGTTTCTAAAGAAGGTTGCTTGTTAACTGCTTCTGTTCTCTGTGGTTGTGAAATCACGCTGCTTTAGACTTGGCTCGAAGCAATGTTGTTGACTTCTTTGTTTGTTTTGTTTCGTTCTTTGACTTGTGTTCTTCTTTTGAGAATATTTGAGAATCAGTGGGTTTCGTGCTCTGGATGAACTTCCGTCGGTTTTGAAACCTTGGTTTGTTGTTGATCCTTTCTTTTTTCTCTGCATCTTGAGGCTGAGGTACCATGCAGGATCACAGCCAGCAGCAAAACGGGAGAGCACGGAGCATCAACTAATCCAGGTGATATTTGTGAATGGAAGCAAACTCACAATCAGGGGGTTCCCCAGAGTTACGAGCGATCGCGAAACGGACAAGGAAGAACCAGATAGGGACAGGATTGACGAAAGTGACAGAGCCACAGAATCCGCTAAACCTTCCTAGGCCGAACTCCTGCAAAGAAGAGATGTGCTTAGCACTGAGGACGTTAATGCCTTGCAACTTCCAAATCCATCCAAGGGCAGATCTAAACATGCATACGGAAGCATGCAGTGACTTACACTGCACGAAGTGGGTATGTACAGTCGGAGAGTGACTACAGAAAGCGAGGAAAAGCAACAGCCATGGGACGCGGGGTCCTTCCGGTTCTGAGGATATCAGCCATTCTGTCTGAGTCACAAACATCAATAAGTCTCGAGCTAAACCCACAGTCAAACGACGTTGACACTTGGCAAGCCTGTCAGGTGTGATGTCAACATGGAGTTTCCGATTTCGAGGGTCAGCGGCAAAAGCCAGAGTGAAAATCGGGTAATGATGCTTGATATCCTCAATATGCTGTGGAGTCAGTGTCTGGTTCAAACAGGCCTGTACAAATTGATGTTCGGGCTTTGCAACAATTACCGATTGAGGCTGACGCGTGCAAACGTTTTGTTTCCCGCGCAAACGGGTTCGGGGGGCACAGGTGCACGCGTATGTTTTGGAAAGATGGGGAAACACTACGTTTTCTTCGTACGCATTCTGACTTTCGTTTGGCAATACTGTCGAAAATCGACGGCGCAAAGTCGAGATGATGTGAACATGAGTGGCGACAGCTGCTGACACGGCATCGTCTCGCTCAAGCTGGCGAGATTCCCAACACTCTTTGGCACAACATTTTGCCAGCCTGTCGGCCTCAGAGTTTCCACGAGTCCAGTGATCCGGCTGTTGTAAATCACCAACACGGCAGTGGGCCTTAACTTTGATTATTTCAACCTGGCCGGATCGGTTGCGAACGTGAGTGCAGATTAAAGCCCACAAATCCCGATTGTCCAAGCACTCAGCCTTGAGCAACCGAAAGTGAACTTGTTCAAGAAGGCGAAAGCCGGCGACAACATTTTGACAGTCGGAAGCGATCACAACATCTCCGGCGTAGCCAGTAGGGCCAACAAAACTGCGTAGAGTTCAGCTCGTTGGGAAGTTTGGTCAACACCAGGCAAGAGAGTGGCAAAACTAAATTGGGCAGGTATGTATACCGCACTAGCCGCAACCCGAGCGTGACGCCACTTGTGAGAAAAACAGCTACCGTCCGTGAAGACTAGGGAACTTGATTCAATCGGGGGCGATGGTAACCGCCCAGCAACGCTCTCATGGTCGGGGCCAGGTGGTCTGGGGGAGTCGGCCTTGCGAAAACAATACCAGTATTACGGGAAAGCCAAGGCACCGTATCGTAGTTTGATGGGCGGGTGTCTTCATGTAGGGGGCAGTCACCAAAAATATGATCATGGGTATCTGGAACTTCGCAAAGAGAACACTGATCATGGGTTCGAAGTGCGGCTGCGCGGAGTCGAGGGCCGGTGAGAATTTTCCCACATAAGGCAGATTTTAACAAGTTCTGGGCGTGTCTAAAGTCCTGCAAACTGTGAGAAAGATGTGCTTGGAGAAAACGGAACTCTTCATGATTACTAAAGGGGGAGTCCAACAGAAACCGGGTCAAGAAAGAGTCAACCAATAAAGAGTCGTCATGAAGCTCCCCTTCAGCACGCTTTGGCATCTTTCTAACCAGATAGGTCCGCAGCCTATCGGCCAAACACTCAGTGAAAAAGGAATCACTGTAATGGGTCAAAAGCCAGGTTTCCCCAAAGGATTTGAACACAAACTGTTGGGGGTCAAGAACTTCCCACTGCAATTCGGCACATAAAAACGCGAGAACCTGAGCAAATCCAGTAACAGCAGAATACCTTACAGAGGGGTTTGTTTGAGCCCACTCGAGGGCTTTCTGCACAAGCTGACGATTGGTCCGCGCTGCTTTCCGCAAGAATCGGAAGACTTGTAATGTCCACTTGGCGATTGGGTCCAGAAAGGGGTCCTTTTGGGTGGCCAGAACCAAAAAAGGGGATCGAATCTTTGTCTTAGAAGGAGACATAACTTCCGCAATCTGTGACCGAAGCTTGGAAATTGATCCCTTGCTTATTCCTTGAGTTTCAATGCCATGAACCCAGACCGAATGAACAACACTTTGGATGAACACTGCCTTCTGGTCGGGAGCTAAGGGGAGCTGACCCACTTTTTGGAGGGCTGCAAGAGCTTTGGTCACCCTAACGTTTTGATGAGTCGAGTTTCGTTGCTGGTTCATAGAAAGGGACCTTTCTATTAGATGGTTTCACGTCTGTTTGGAGTGAACTTTTAAACAAGGGGATCGGATGAATTGGTTTCTTTCACACTTTGGGTTTCTTTACCACAGGAACGGTGGTCGTGTGATTTTGACAGTTTGATCAGGTACGGGGAATTTCTTTGGTGTTTGTGGGAAGCAGTGTACCAGAGCCTCTTCGAAACAAAAGCACAGCCTTTGAAAGTTCTTGGAGCCTTAATACTTAATAGTGTTGAGCCAACGTTGTTCCCCCATGGCTTTCGTGGGTTGGCGGCAGCATTTGCAAGCGCACAGCTTCACCAATAAGCGAAGGTACCTTGATTTGCAAGGGTAAGTGATTTTCGTTATCTAATGATCTCAGGCGTGTGACTCTTGGCAATACAGATGTATCTTCAACGACTGTTCCCGTCTCTTGGAGATTTTCCATTGGATATTCTTTGAAAAAGGCGTTGGGAGATCCCGAAACGAATCAGTTTTTCGAGACCACCAAAAAAAAACCAAAAAACATGATGATTCATTCGCCAGATCATGCACTTGCTTTCACCAATAGAGTTTCCAACATAAATCCGACAAATACATGTCAATTCCCCGTGCAATGGCCAGAAAGCCATACGGCCATCTACACACGGCGCACCCTGTAGTTCTAATTCAATGCTTGTTGCATTTGCTTCGGCTTTGTAATTTCGAAGCCTCCTCGACTTGTGCATATTGTAGCTCAAGCGTTTTACATCTTATTCTGGCGAACTTCTAATTGTGATTCCAATTCCTTTCTAATTCAACTTTCATCTAATTTTAAATAGGCTATAGTTATATATAGTTCAATACAAGTTTAGTTGAAATTCGGCTTTAACTAAGTTCTATCTTAGCTCTAACTCAAATCCAACTTAGCTCTACCTAATTCTATTCTAGCTCTAGTCTATTTAGTTTAAGAAAACACATGCTACAAAACCCCGTGTTTTACATATTTTTTTGCCCTGGGAGCGCTGGGAACAAGACTAAAACTCTTTTTTGGAGTACATAGTTAGATCTATTTATTTACAGTAATCACGGGAAATAATATAGACATATTAAACCTGTTTTATGCACAAACTTTTAATTCAAGAGCTTCCCTCTAGATCTTTGGGGGTGATCATGTCTACAATAAAACTATGTAAAAGCTTTCATGTCAAAAGTTTTCCTCTGGATCTCTGGAAATGGTCATGTCAAAGTTTTTCTTTCAAGAGCTTTCCTTTCATGAAAACACACATATATGGGATATCTACTTTCCCAAAGATCCAGAGGAAAACTTTGAACATGCAAGTTCTTACCCGCAGAAATCTAGAAGAACGTTTTAACATACAAGGTTTCTATATAGTTGTTTAAATCTAAAAATGATTATTTGCAGAGATCTATAGAGAATCTTTTATAACATAAAAGCGTCTATATACAATCTTTCCAAATCTAAACATAATTATAAGCAGAGATCTAGAGGACAATTGTTAAAATAAACACTTTTGTGGCCTGCTTCTTTCCTAATTATCTTGTTCAAAACCATCTGAATGACTGATTGCTGCTTCCAAAACAATAAAATGACCCCGACTCAGGAATACATAATATATTTGTTCATATAGAGAGAGCAGGAATAGATTTTATGTGTGTTTATATGGAGAGGGGCTGCCACTGAAGTATGTACTTAAAATTTTGAAAACCCAGGCCCCATGGCCACCCGCTCTCATATTATATGTGTGTGTTACAGTGTTACAGACATGTCTGTCTTGCTGCGGACATCATTGGTGTGCAGTTTGCAGTTTATATACACACAATTTTTGCACCACCTCCACCATTGCACTTTGCAGGTGGAGGTTGGCAAAGCAGAGCGGCAGGAGCAGTGCTAAATCAGATTGAAGTCAGCTAATTTTTATACAGTGCAGCGTCAGCAGTGGATTCAGCCGATTTTGCTTATAATAGTGTGTGCTAAAAGGTTCGGCTCCGACCTTTCACCGGAAGTGTCCCCTCCGGTGTTGGGTTAATTTTAGCCGGTAGCCTCAGGGCCGCGGTGACCGTTCATGGTTGCGGCGGTTCGACCCGTCGTGGTGGCCTTTATCTTTGCCCTCATTTGCTCTGCTTTGAGATTTGGTGACTACGAAATCCTACAGGGAACCTACGTGGCACCGCAACAAGCGGAGAAAGAGGAAAGCTGCAAGAAGGACCTTGCGTGCCTGGATCCCAGGCAGCAAGATACCACCCCATCGCTTGAGAAAGGCGACCATCAGAGTTGCCTCTCATCACGGCAGTTCCTTGCCAGGCCAAATATCCACAATGCCTCTCAGGTGGATTTGCCAGTGTGGTCAGAAGAATGCCCCCAAAGCTCTCTATTGTCTCTACTGCGGAGAGCACTATACGGCAGTAGACTGGAAGCGAGATCGATCGAAGTCTCAAAAGCGGAAAGAGCAAGATCCTTTTACGCCTCCGCCCAGGAAGGAAGCCAAGAGCAAGGGGAGATCGCAGACCACGCCAGCATTGCCACCCTCGCCGAGACTACCACCACCGCCTGCTCCTCCAGGTGGGGTAGAAAGCAATGCCGCCACAGTGGATATTCAGCAACACCTGGCAGCTATCAGAAGCTACTATGGGACTGCAGCAACTTCGAGCTTGGCAAAGGAGATTCAAACCCTGGAGCAGAGAGGAGAATCGAGTCCTCGCCTGACACATGGGCATCTTTCCAAACTTGGGAAGGCCCAAAAGCAGGTGGAGCTCTGCAAACAGGAAGTGCAAAAAGTCGACAAAGACTGGCAGGCCTTTGCATTAAAAGCGAAGAACAGCATGCAAGAGCGATGGGCAGTTTATCAACGGGACAGAGAGAAGGCCAAAGCTGCACTTGTCGAGGCAACAGAGAATTTGAGTTTGCTGAGGACGCAGGTGAAGCATGTAGCTTCTGCACTAAGGACAAATATCAGTGTGGAAGACGAGGGGGATGCAATTCCCACTCTCGAGGAGATGCAGAAGATGCTTGGCAAGATCGAGGAATCGGAGCTCATAGACGACGACGAAATGCAAGAAGACATGGAGGAAGAGCTGGTTGCAGACAAAACTGCAGAACCAGCAGTTGCTCTGAGGGCATTTCGAAGAGCCATTCCTCGACAGGGCAAAGCTGCAAGTGCTGCATCGCCTCCCAAGGGAGTCAGGCAGACTCACTTGAAGCAGGCTGTGGAGAAGAAGGAAAAAGGGGAAAAGGCAGATGTAGATCCAGCAGAGGCCAAGTGATATTCAGCCATGAAGAATGGGGATGCTCTCATGTAGCTGATTGTTGTCAGAATGGTCCGTTGGCGCCATTTTTGAAGGCATGCCTTCGGACGGATAGTTATAACTGCTGGAGTGAAGGCTCATTTTGCCGCCCTTTTCTACAAACAGCCAGAGATATCGATAATGGAGAAGTGCAAAGATGGGAACGCCTAAGAAGCATTTCCAGGCTTTCTGTGCTACTTCGTGCCTCCGATTTTTCCCAATGTCTTGCCAGACTTGAAAGGCCAGTAATTAGTTCGTTCGAGAAGCATTCAAGGGTCAATGATTCTAGGTGGGAGCAGTGTCATGTCGACGACTTCGCAGATGAGGTTATCGCACAAGCACTGCTCTTCTGCTGTCTTGAACTAATTGCCTTATTCGGGTCCGGAATTTATGCATGTTGGGAAACTTGGTGTCAGTTTAGAGTAGCCAAAAAGCCAACTGCACCTCGATCACATAGGTATCATAGAATCAATAGAAGGCAGATGAAAGCAATAGTCTTGATCTTCCTTTGCTTGGATTTTGTAGGTGTGAGAGCTAGGATCCACGCCGAGACTTATGCTTTGTCTTCTGACATCCAACCTACAAGGAAAAAGGATAATACAGTCCACCACGAAGCAGAACACGAGGTCATGTCGCTAATGGAAAGGTCAGAGGCGAGTGATCTCGGTCCAATTCTACAAGAAAGCGAAAGTGGAACTCAAGACTTCCAATCGCATCTTGCAGCAGTGCACGGAGCAGTGGTTTTAGGACGTGAAGCAGAGGTCGGAGACTTCCTGAGGGCATTCCTGACCGAGTCTGCTGTACGACTACCAGAGGTGGATCCTTTGGTGCTTGACACATATTTCGTATCTAGGTGGCACAGAATCAATAAGACACCAAGAAGAATCAGTTGCTATAAAGCTCTCAATTGGCAGAATGCATTGCTAGCTGCATGGCTCCCAAGGGGAGATAATAGCTTCGTCACTGTCTTTATGGCACAGATGCATTCCAATACGCAAGAAGGTCCGGAACTGCTCATCATTCCCAGAGAAGATGATTTGATTCATGCAAGACCTTTCTTGGTGGACGTCATGGCGCACATCACGGTGCGATGTGGAGTCTGGGCTGAGAGAAACTCAAAGGTTCGTGACATTTTCTTAGGTACAGAGTTCGATGCCTTTTGCAATCATCATTGCCAAATGGCCTGTTGGAACGGAAATGATTTTGTGATTTTTGATAGGGAGGACATTGTAGAAGCAAGAGCAGGTGCTTATTGTAAGTTGAGCCGTGCTATCTCTTGTGCCGGTGTTTCCAGGAAGCGCAAGGCTGTTTCACTTGGAACGACACTGTTGCAGAATGGCAGTCAGCTAAGCACTGAAGAACAGAGCCTCTTTCAAATCGATCTCACGATACATAGCCTGTTCCTTGAACAATTCACTGCCATCTTCGAGACTCGCAGGTTCTTAAGATTCATTCGCCATGGGAGAGACTCTCAGGAAAGGCGTCTGCATTCTCGACAAGTCCCGGTTTCGGAGAGGAATCGTGCCTATTGGAGAATTTTCACGCGAAGAGTGGCCGCAATAACTAGTTGCAATGCACAGACTCACTTTAGAGATGAAGTTCAATTTCTGTTGCAACGTAGATATAGAAGCACGTTCTTGCACGTACACATTCCTACTGACGGACACCAACCACAGTCAGCCGGTCTTGTCTGGGACAATACTTGGAATCAGGAACAGCTAGTGCCTTGGGTTAGACTGCGAGTGGCAGAAAGTTTCCCACTGGCAGATGTAGCCAAGTTATGGTGGGTGGAACCTCAGCCTGCCCCGCATCAACAACTCGGACTAGACGATGTTCACATGATCCTTTTTGTGCCAGTTGAAAGGCATTTTGCTATTCTGGTTTGTGTGGATTGGTCACATATCGAGCCATACAAGCACACTCTTCTGGCAGGAATGTTTGCTTCTCCTGTCACGCAGCAGAGTGTGATTCGATGGTTGCGTCTTGAGAGGGATTGACGTCGAGTCTTGTGCAAATTCCAATTAGGAGGAATGCCAATTGATGATGAAGTTCTGCCGATAGACGCCGATGGACAAAGACTTGATCTAGTGCTGCATGAAGACTCCTGTGACCAATCTGCAGTTCATGGTCATGGAATGCAGACACCAGTAAGAGATGCGATAGTGGATGAAATTGGTCTGATGCAGACAGTATTAGATCTGTCGATTCGTGACTTCTCTGCAGATCTGGATACCATTCTGCGTGGTTTGCGTAGTGCATTCTCTACAGTTCAGCAAACGTTCACTATACAGGTCGTATCCGGTGACGGGTTTGTTATTCGGGATGTGCTAGCCAGATGTGAACTACACTCCATCACAGATGAACGTGAGTTTCGACAATGGTTAGAGCCATTGCTTTCGCCAAGTTTGAGGGGTCCCATAAGAGGTTTTCTCGGGAGAGTTAAACTGGTACAAGAAGCTCCTCTCTTGATAGTGGCAAGGCAAGGCCAACCTAGACAAATACCATACTTGGTCAAATACCGTCCGGAAGGCCTCTCCACTCTGACGCAGATTGTTCTGGTGACGAAGGCCAAACAGGTGTCCGAATTTGTCGCTGAGTTCGACAGCCAGAGCTATCTTGCATGGGCTGGGGATGACTGTGCCTACGAAGTTGATGGTCGTTGGGTGGAACCGTCATTTCAAGTTGAATGGATTCCTGCGACGGTGATCAAGATTTTTCAGTCAAGGCAGAAAATCCAAGAACTTGACTGTGGACCGCATATGGAATTGAATGCCTATGATCCATACATACAAGCAGAAGAAGTTGCCAGACGACTTGTTCCGGACTCTTCAAACTCCTCTGAGCTGAGCTCATCTAGCAGCGATGACACGAGCTGCCTACAACTTCCTCTTCAACATGGTGTAGATCACGATGAAGGGAAAAACACTGCAACCCCGAAGTATACATGGCAGAGGTGCCTAGAGAAGGAGAGTAGTAATGGAACGCGACAGCATACATTCGGGAGATGGGCAAGTGAGACAAGTTGTGTGCAGCAAATATCTGGAGGAAGAGAAGAATACGGGGAAAACACTGCAACCCCAAATATAACGGCGCAGTGTCAAGGCAACTATGACGGCAGCTTCACATTTGACAGCGAACTACACCAGGTGAGGATGCAATATTCGCAATTCGGAGCATATCGTGGGGAAAACACTGCAACCCCGGAGAGCCTCTCCCAGGATACAGAGGAGGGTGATCACGGTGTTCTGATGCAAACGATTCGAAATCCAGACCAGTTACAAACCTATCTGGCGCAAATCGCCCTAGAACGAGGGATGAACTTTGATTTTTGGTTCCACAGCAAGGCCTTTCCATGGGATTTTCGCAGTGAGAAGTATTCATTGGAATTTAGGCTGGGGCAGAGTGTGGAAATACGGATCAAGAGGCATCTGGGCATTCGCGATAGAATCTCTGTATATCCTGTGTGGCCACATGTGAATGAGTTCGTCCCGACAGCAACTTTCTTGGTTACTGACTCGTCCAATGTCCCGAGAGTTTTAGTATTGGCAGAAGTGCAAGGCATTGCTAGACGAGAACGCGGCGCGTTCCTTTTGCAAAC